ACAATCGAGACACGAGACGAATAAACGAGCTGCACAGCGAATTTCTTCGAGTGATTGCCGGAAACATAAACTCCTGCTCCTGATCGGCCTCCACTTTCTGGGGAAATGAAAATGGGAGGTGGAAATGGAACAGCCCACGCGGCAATCAGAGAATGTGTGAAAAATCGAAAGGAAATTTGCATGTCACTCAATGGAGGCCTAAACTTTGTTTGCTCTGCAAACGAACCTCGAAACTCTGGACAAGATCAGGGCAACACCCCGCGGTTGTTCCGTCACTCTCGGCACTGTTTCTTGGCACAGTTTCTCGGACCTAGAATGGAAACCAATATTTGAATATTGATCGACACAGAAATCAGAACACGTCGAAAATCAGTCAATGGCCCATTTTAATCCACTTCCTCCTAACGGTCGAGTATTGATATATCTCTAACCATCCGCCGCAGTGAATCTGGCCTTGATAAGAGGGAGCAACAAACTCGGCGCTCTCGAGTGTGAATGTAAGCGTTGTCCAACCCCATTCGGGAAATATCTGACATGAGATCGAGAAGAATGGCTTCCCGAGAATCGCAAGCTTCGTAATTTTGGCAACGATCGCGGCATGCGATAGCAATTAGAGCAAAACTCTGACATTTCCAATTACTCAATCCAAAGTTCACCCACTCTTCTGGTATCCCAATCAATCCCTGAACATCTCGAGAACTGGGGGTCTACCCATTCACACGCCAATTCCAATTCCGACTCCAAAGTCAAGGAGCGAATCCGGATGACGGTAGCCGATTGCAGACTTCCTACTTCGATCCCAACTCCCAAAGCTTTTCCGAGATGAAAGACAAGAAAGACACAATTTATATAATTTCTTTATCAGATCTTTTCGATGTAGTTCATTGTTGGAAAAATTGTATAATTCCCTCAGAGGCGTTAATCGAACGCGGAGAGGCCTCAATTATGGCCCAAAGCGACAATCGCTGCAGAATCAAAGTCGAATCTGGATTGGAATCTTGTCCCGACAAGTGTGGAAATCGGATGCAGTGCATCGGATGGAGAGTGAGATTCAGATACATATGCTTGAAAACGCGGGAAAAGTGCGACGAGTGCAGTTCGCTGCGCTTTCGATGATTGCGCGTCAATATTTAATTGCATTATGTGACGGACAAATTCGAGACAGCCTCCGCTTTCTTTGTGGCGCAACTACTGCTGATTGCTGGTGGTGTTACTATGTGCAGTGTGGTTGCATAAACGCTGTATCAAACCCGGTTGCCTTGACTAAGCTGCCCCCACAATCAGTGACCTCATTCCGCACTCCCCGTTTTTTCAACTCTTTATTTCTTATTTTTAGCTCTGCCTTCGATTGTTATCGCGCACTTAATTAGGCGTGCGTTGAGGTAATGCTCGTGAAGTTCCTCTGGTACTTACAACTTTGGTCATTAGAAAGCTAAGCTGCAAGGTTCTCGTGGTTCTACTTCCCTCCCCCCTGGAAAATCGCGGGGCATCTGAGACTCTTCTCTGAGTGATCCGTGCACCTGCCGCTCTTTTATGGCCCGCTGTGGCACTTCAATTTGGCATTATTCAGTGCAATTCAATGCCGCTGCTGCGTGTCAGGCAATCGCATTAGAAAATCATTTGCCTCGACTGTTATAATTGCATTTTATTACTTCCGACAAGAACGAGAAACCCAAGAGCTGTGGACCCTTGGCGAGAAAAGCTGTAGTCGTAGCTCAAGCTGTAGTTGAAGTTGAAGCTAGAGCTGGGACTGAAGAAAGTTGCAAGCGAAGAGCTCTCTTCTGCGGAAGAGAGCTGGCGAAGAGCGGCTGCTTAAGCCATTAGCTTTCCGCCATCTACCGGTTTTTCTTCTTGGCCAAAAGAGAGTTAGTCGCCGCTGCCTCGGCCTCTGCCGCTGTCTCTGCCGACGTCGTTTGGGGCCTTCGACGGTCGGCTTCCCAGCTTGAAAACGTTTTCCGCGGCCTTCGCAGCGAGCATTCAGTGTCAAGGTGCTCGAACTGGCGGTCGCTAGCGCTCCATCGATAGAAGAAGCTAACGAACTCGATCCGATCTTGCCCAGCATCTGGAATCTGGAGTTCCTCGAAGAGTTTCGCATAAGAACGTTTAGCCAAATCGCACAAGATTCAGTTGGGCGCTCCACTTTCGACAGTGAGGACGTCGCTCGAGCGGTTCGCGTAGTTTCGGTCCATCAACTTAAACAATCAAAAAACTATTTTTTAAGAAACAAATCAATCGTGTGTTTTGTGCGTGTCCTGTTCCGAAACAGTTAAATAACCCCTGCCACATTCTCAAGTGACCAAGGTAAAAATTTAAAACGCGTTCTGCAATTCATTGACATTCAATGCCTGACAAGGTGTCAATTGTCAGGCGAACAGGATGTCCACATGTCGATCAATTAAACGAAAATGGTCAATGGATCATTAGAGAAAGCTTGGGTGAATGTCAGCACAAAAAGCATCGAGGAGATGTCACATTAGATTCCAAGTATCCAAGCATCCAGCATCCGAGCATCCAAGTTTCCAAGTTTCCAGTTTCGAGATAAATCCGCGGAGCTGGAACTGGCATTTTTGCCATGCCGGAAACACGGCGCGCAGAACCCGTCAACTCCCAAATGTGCAGAATTCTGCAGGCAATTAACTTTCGGCCTGGTCAAGACTTCTTGCTCCCCTGTCGATCCACCATCCACTGGGAATCCTGGTGGTGACCAGTGATTTGGGTCAGTCAACGGTTCGATGCGACCATTTAATGGCAATTAGCTGGGGCTCCGACCAGTCAAGACCTGAATGTCAAAAGAGTGCGAGACTTTCGCTGCCTGGGCGAGAATCCAAGATCTAAGAATCCGAGTGACAAATCTCTGCACTACGTGATCCACAATTCATTGCCCTGTTACGAAATAAGCCGGGCTAAATGGTGACCCAAACTCATTAATATTCCGGTGGGGTAATGGATCCGAAATGCGTTCAACGTCTAGAGCTGCTTTTTCGTGAGCTCGGAGATCATGTTTATGGATTTGAGTGCATAGATTAGGGTTTCGAATAGCTTTCGAATTGGTGCGGTTGATTTGCCGTTAGGTTCGGGCCATGAAATGAAAAGTTTTGTCAAGATTTTCCCAATGCTTCTTGCCTTTTTTTGTTTTTGCTATTCGATACACCGCAGCCAAGGGAAACTAGTTTTGTGGCTCTTTTGATAGTTGAGAAATTTCACTGGCCATTAATTGAAGATTTGTCGCTAACTTTGAGAAATTTCTGCCAGCCACAAAAAAGAATTTCTATAGAAATAACTCGAGGTGACCCACATCCAAGCGGAGCCAACTCCTTCTGACGATGGCCAGCGGGTGCAGTTTTCAAATTGCCAGCCATGAAATGAAGATAGCAGCTAGCAGCTAGCAGCCAGGCCAAGAAGTAGTTGCCAAGTGGCTTTTCTGGCCAACTTGGAGAACCTGGCTCCATCTCCTTCTGTGGCGAGTTGCACACATTGCTTACAGTTACACTGAGCAGCGCTTCAATTGAGATAAGCTCCGATGGTAGTTATGTCATTCCCTGGCACACTTTTCCAACCAGCCAGCCAGCCAAGACAACAACTAAACCAATCACTCGCCATTCTAATTAAGTGGCAACTAGTTTTTGGCGTATTGGTGTCATAAAAGTGCTCTATCGGCACCTAGACAGCACAGGAAAGCAGTGGGATTAGCCCGAATTTCGAACCAGATCTGAACAAGACTCACTCAAAACAACACTCCATAAAGCCTGGCCAAAACAAACTGTCAAATTTGGCTGTAAATATGTGTGCTAAATGAGAAACAAGTTGCTAAGCTGGCTGATAAATGCTCGGACATCCCGATGCGAGCATGCATATATATAAATCTCCATTCGATTCGAATCTCGGGATCCGCAGCAGGAGCAGCTCGGCTGCCAAATGGAAATTTATGTCCATGTCCGTGAGCTTGTGAGTCTGCAGCAGCGGATCTGTGGATTAGTTTATTGGCCCACTAAGGCAACTGACCCACAGCATTAAATTGTGATTTGAGTGGGCCAGTAGCTGACTGGCTGGTAGTAGTTCTCTCCAGCTGGGTTATACCACCGGGTAATTAGAATGTTTTCCTCTCTTATTTATTTTATTGAATTGCATTACATCGAGTTGAGGTACCTGCGAGGGGCACGCGACTCGCTCTGCTGGGCAGTCCGTGTCATTGACCAGCAACCATGGAAATTGATTTGCAGGCAGACAATTGCATAATCGTTGATTATGAGGCACTCACGAAGCTGTAGACGGAGCTGCAGCTTCAAACTGCAGTCGAATTCGATTAGTGCGGAAATCAAGTCGAGCGCATGTGGATAGAAAAGCCGGGCTCTCTGTGATTTAACGCATATTACACGTAATGCATTTTCCATGCAGCTGGGTACTGGGTCTCGAGCTGAAGCTGAAAAAAGAACCGCAAAAGCCACTAACGATCCAACATAAAGCATCCAACAGTTGTGTTCTCCTCCGTATCGATCGCATTGTGATCGGAGGGGCCCAATCAGAATTCCAGCTGACCATTCCAGTTAACAGCTAGTGCTTCTTGGCTTAAAGTCCAGGTGCTTTCGGCCATGGATTCTTTTTTGTGTAGCCTAGCTTCTTGGCTTCCTGTGCGTGCGCCAATGCCTAAGTGGCATTATTTTAATTCCTCTGGCCGTGCGTGTGAGCAGCGTTTAGATCTCCGAACTGCAGCCGTTTTTCCTCTCCAAGGTTCTGATGGGACCATCAACCAAATTGATTTTGCATCTATTCCCGGGCAATTAATCAGTGCTGGCTTCTTCGTGCTGGTGGGCGTTGCCATTGCGATTGCAACTGCAACTGCACAGCTGGATAGCCCGTATTAAACCCATTATTAAAGCTTAACTGTAACTGCCGGGGCAATTAATCACGAGATAAGCATGGGAGTGGGAAGACACTGAAATGCTAATTAAAAACCAAGCTACCAAAACGTTCTTTTTGCCATTTTCCTTCGCTTCCAGAGTGCCGGAATACAGAATACAGAACACAGAGGCCAAAATGCAACTGCGGTCAATGACAAAGAAGCGAGGAGTCAGCATGATGGCGCTGCTGGGCTAATGCTGCTTTTGGTGGACACCTCTTCGGTGGCGGCACGCAAGCTGCCCAAGCGGCCGGCGGTGAAACCGTTGAAGACATTTCCGCGCAACAACGCCACACCGATTCCGGCAACGGGAGCGGGAATTGCGGCGCCGAACGGAAGCGAGCTACCAAAACCGTTGAGCGTTGAGCCAGCGGAAGCGATTGTCGCATCGCCACCTGGCTCTGCAGATTCCTCAGGTGATTCTGCCACTGCCACTGCCACTGCGACTGCCAATGCCCCCGCCCCTGCCCCAGCATCACCTGCTATATCACCTGCCGCCGAGACCAAGGCCGATGATCTGGGCCCCGCTCCCATGGCAACACCTTCGGGGAGCTCCTCTTCGGTGGACGAGGACTGCGAACCGGATATGATTGGCTTCGAACTCATAACAGGGTAAGTGTCACCGGCAAGCAACATAAATCTTAATTGCGGACAATTAGTTGTCCATGGAGTACCATGAAGTGCCATTGAGAACCATTAAGTACCATCGAGTACCATGGATCCCGTGGAGCAGGGACAATCGCTCGAGCAGGGAGCATAAATTATACCCACCACTGCCTGTTAACACATCGTAAAGGTGGTTTCCCCCATTTATAATGCCGCCAAACCACCCACTTGGGTTGGCCCAAAGCCCCAACGAGAACCCCAGAATTTATGTGCGTTACTTTCCGGTTAATCCACCATCGCAGGTACGTGCTATCGGCGCCATCGAAGCAACTGGAAACGCTGCCCGGCACCCTCATGCTGACCGACTGCCTGGAGGCCTGCCAGGCCAATGAATCTTGCAGCGCGGTTAATTACGAGACGGGCCTGTGTGTCATGTTCCGCAGCACCGCCGATCAGTTGCCAGGTGAGTCGACTTTTGGCTGCGCCGGGAGAAAAGAAATGAAATGGGCTTGGAGAAGGATTGGGTCCTATAGCCAGTCTGTACAGTTCCCTCTACAAAGCCTCTTAAAACGCCACAAAATCCTAATGATGGCAGCAAAACAAACATCATAGATACAATGAGAAGTACCAATGAAAGCTCTAAGTTCTCAAGTGTAGATTTTAAAAGTTTGTTGCTAAAGCTACCTAAATGTGATTCAGTTTACGACTCCAATCATTTCCAAAATCAAAGAGAAAGTAAGTCATTACAAATGGTTTTTGAATTCCTTTGCGGTGCTGCCTTACTTAATGGGTTCCCAAACACAAACTACTAAGGATTAAACAAGACAATGTTGTTATTATGTCCTTAGCATCAAAGAGAACTTTAAATTAGAATTTTCCCATTAAAACTCTCAGTATTAGTTAGTTTTTCCATGTGTAGTTGCTGGTTAAAGAGCACCCAGCTCAGCACTCGATAGCCCAATCACGATCTTTGGCTCGCAGCTTGTATGTTAAATGTTTCCCGCTAATCACAATGAATGCCGCCCCCATCTGGCCATCCATTCCCCTGCACTTCTTTACAGGTTCACTTTCCCGCTCCCAGTACCCCGTGTTCACCGTTTACGCGCAGAAATCCTGCTTCGGAGTGCGTCCCTGCTCGAAGGCCTGGTGCATCGATCGCGTCCAGGGCTACCGACTCCCAGAGCGGGCCAAGGCCAGCCAGAGTGTGGCCACGCGGCGCGACTGCATCGAGCTCTGCCTGGGCGAGACGGAGTTCACCTGCCGGTAAGTGCTGGGGTACCGTTACAGCAGAGCCACCCTCTTGAACTGAAACACCCACCCCGCCTCCTTTGGTGCACACACCTCTTTACTCCTCCCCAAAGCACTCGTCAGAAACCACTAAGCACTCTGCGACACACGAAAAAATATAAAAGTATGCATTGGGTCTATTTGGTTTTTGCAATGTGGATTGTTTCCTATCGTAAATAAAAAATAAAAAAGGTTTAGCATTTATAAATAATATTGTTATTCATTTGTATTACCAAAAGCGAATTTACGCAAGATCAGTGTCTTTACTAACAATTAAGAATAACTGATTTTCTTTTATATTTTTTAAGTACCACATTTCTTTTGCCCAAAAAAATGTCATTTCACCATTTCCCCCCTTATTTTTCTCTGTGCACCCCGATCCACCTGAAGATCGGCCAACTACTATGCGCACTCTGGCCTGTGCGAGCTCTCGGACATGGATCGCATTACGCTGTCGGACGAGGCGAACATCGCGGCCTACGATGGCGCCGACTATCTGGAGAACAACTGCGCGGAGGAGCCCAGCAAGCTGTGCGAGTTCAAGCGCGTAGCGGGTCGCATTCTGAAGACGGTGGACTCGGTGCACCAGAACGTTCAGACCCTGGACGAATGCCGCGACCTCTGCCTGACGGCCCCGTTCCGGTGTCACTCGTACGACTACAACGAGACCGGGGAGCTGGTGTGCCGCCTGTCCATCACAGCCGGGCCACTTTGACGGATCTCTCCGAGCCCTACCTCTCCATCGAGGAGGCGGCCACCTACGAGCAGTCCGCTTGCTACAATGTCTCCATCGACTGCCGCTCAGGCGAGATGGTGACCAAGATCCGTACCTCCAAACTGTTCGACGGCAAGGTCTACGCTAAGGGAGCACCCAAATCCTGCGCTGTGAATGTGAACAACTCTCTGGAGTTTGACCTCAAGATGCGGTACAACGATCTGGAATGCAATGTGCGACAGAGTGCCTACGGCAGGTATATGAACGACATTGTGATCCAGCACCACGACATGATTGTCACCTCCTCCGATCTTGGACTGGCCGTATCCTGCCAGTACGACTTGACCAACAAGACGGTGGTTAATAATGTGGATCTGGGTGTAACTGGAGAGATTGAGTCTACGCTCAGCGAGGAAATCATCGTCGATTCACCGAACGTCATCATGAAGATAACCGCACGTGATGGCAGCGACATGAAGAGGATCGCCGAGGTTGGGGATCCGCTGGCACTGCGATTCGAGATCGTCGACGCCAACAGCCCGTACGAGATCTTTGTAAGGGAACTGGTGGCCATGGACGGGACGGACAGCGCCGAAATCACACTGATCGACGCCAACGGCTGTCCCACGGACCAGTACATAATGAGTGCCATGCAAAAGCTGGCCAGCAATCGCAAGGTGCTGCTCTCACAGTTCGACGCCTTCAAGTTCCCCTCCTCGGAGCTGGTGCAGTTCCGCGCCCTGGTCACGCCCTGCATACCGCGCTGCGAACCGGTTATCTGCGACAACGATGAGAACGGCGAGCTCAAGTCGCTGCTGTCCTACGGTCGTCGCAAGCGATCGGTGCTCAACGGCACTGATGGCGGTAAGTAAACGGTTCTTCTCGGCCAGCTTCGAAACCAGGGATGGAAGGCCAGCCAAGCCACCAATCCACCAACCAGTGACCTCTCGAGAGGTGCACCATCTGGGTCTTAGTTTCTTGGGGCCACATGGTGTTGCACGTGTGACATTTACTTTGACTGACGGAAGGAAATCTTCAGAAATAGCTGAGTTTTTGAGTAGGTTGCAATATTTCTTAGAAGAAGCTTAGATAACCAGTGGATTGTAGAAAAATTCAGAATTTAATATCATTTTGTATCTTATTTCCTTAAAACCCAAGAACATTTATAGAATTTATGTAGGATCATCCAATTTTTGTATTTACAAAAATATTTAAAAATAGCAAGCTTTATAAGGTAAACACATTTATTTAACATCTATGTCTGTTAGAATTGGTATCGAAAGCATAAATAATGGCCGGTTTTTAGCCAAAAAAATAAGGTACTTTTAAAAGTCCAATAACAATAACTCAATAGGATTGAAAGTAAATTGGTTTCCTGTTAAATTTTAAAAGTCAATCTATTTATGGCCGTAAAATAGTTATAGGAGTTTGCACTGCATCTACAAAGATGTGTCCATTAAAAAGAGTACGGACCATAACAAGGCTGACACCAATAGCTTTTATCATTCGGTCGGCCGAATTGGAATGCCGTATTATATGGCCCATCCGGGATTTATGAACCTTCCTCAGCGGTACACCATCCCTGGTTTGGTGGCACAACAGACCAGAAAAGAACACTACAGAACAGAACAGAACAGCTCCCAGAAAACATATTTCATTTCTTGTTTGCCTCTTTTTCTCCTTCTCGCTTCTCTTTGCTCGCCTGCAATTTTTTGTGTCTTCTGTGATTTTCTGCTCGATGGATGCGCTGCTACCTTTTCACAGTTGAGCTGGCCATTAAGTCGGAACGCCAAAAACGTGATGTGAGTCATCAGGCGGCCGGCGATGAGAACCTTCTGCTGGTGCAATCGATACAAATCACCGATAAGTTCGCCTTCAATGGCGCCGATTCTCCGGGAGGCAGCGGTTTGGAGGCCGGTGGTCTGGATGGCCTGGCCAAATTGCAACTGGACCTGGGCACCAAATCGGACACTTGCATAAATGGCTATGGTGAGTAGTGGGGCATGGGGACGGGGATGGGGATGGGGCACAGGGGATTGGGGATCACTTAGGTCTTGGGTCTCGGGTCCAGACCAATGTGTAGCACGGTGGCAAGTCTATCCAAGTCGGCTCCATCTATTTGGTATCGCTGAGCGTGGCGAATTGATTTGCGTTAATCGCGTGCCGTCGCGCCATCTAGCCTCTAGAAAAAAGTTTTAAAAAAACGAAAGAGCCGCACGGACTTGCCAACTTGCCGACTGAGTGCCCAGCTAATTAAATAAGCTCGTAAATTTTCTTCAACTCTTTTTACAACTCTATCCAGGCTTCATAATTGCCGGGGCTCTGTTCCTGCTGCTCCAGCTGACGGTCATCGCTGTCTGGGACAATATGCAGAAGCGAGCGTTACACAAGCGGTAAGACCGTCAACGCCAGTGAATGGCCTCTTAACAAGCCAGTTGGAAAGGTTGGATACGGAGAAGATGGAACCGGTGGAGTGGATGGAGCTCCAAATGCAGATGGAGGATGGAAATGGAAGCAGAGACAGAAACAGAAACCGAGCTGCAGGTGGAGAGGCAGAAACTAGCATGAAATTCTACTTAGCTCAAAACTTAGCACCGCTCATAATCTAGTTAGTAGATGTACGATCGAGAGATGGAGATGGAGAAATGGAGACGCCCTTCCCCGGACTTTCCGCCATAGAGCTGGACTCCTCTGTGAAGGGATCCCCCTAGGAACGAACCGTAGCTTAATATTTATACCTATGCCTAACTATAAACCCCCACGTATGTGTGCGCATTTAGGCGCCCCCTCTATAAGACTTACTTGCTAGGACTACTCACTCTGAATACATATGTCGGCATACTATCAGCTTAAGACTCGGAACTTGGAACTCGGAACGAAAAGCTCCTTAGTTGTAGTGCGAACGAACCATTCAAACCTCTCAAGCGAGCTTCGAACTGACAACCATTGCTCGTTTAAGAGGTTTGACTGTCTACTAATACTTAACACTTAACTTAACTTAACTTAACTTAATGCTTATATATGCTAGGCCCAATCGAACAATCGAACACAAACACACAAAAATGTAAGAAAATGTAACAAGAGACAAAACTTCAGATGCTATAAAAGGTAAATAAACGTATTAGAAAGATACTCGTTTGCATTCGCATTACTTTTCTTTTCCTTTTAACCGGGTTTGTTTGGTCTGCGATTTCGTTTGCGTTTGCGGAATACAAAATTTGCCCGTCACTGTCAATGCCAATCGATCTATTTAACAAGGCCAAAACCTCAAGCCCCAGCCTCGGCCATGATTGTTGGTTTTGGCCTAATCAACGTTGATACAAATCAATCAAGAGCAGCGTTTAGACCACCTCCTCCTCCGATTTTACTTCGAATGCGACTTCCTTCAGCCGAGTGGCACACTCACCAGGTGGAAAATTGGCCCGAGTGAAACTGAACCTTGGCTAAATGGCGCTGAACTCGGCTCTAAACGGCTCCAAGTCGAGCTGCCTGCAGTAAAAGTGACAAACTAATTGGGCGAGGAAACGAGGGCTATGAATTGCAGGTAAACAACTTCATTAACATGATTTCACCCACATTCGCAGTGCAGGCAGCGAAATGAGCTCCAAGTTGAGTGGGTGGTGTAAACTGGGCTTTTACTTTAGGAATGTGTGGGGCCTTTTGGGCACCCTAAAGTAGGTTACTTTTATGGGTGTACTTAAAGCAGTAATTAATTGCATTACATGCACCCAATTACGTTCTTTAGATGATCGTAACTTTTCAAGAAAAAACAAACAAGATAATGGAAGGTAATATCTTGGTCCGTTTACGCATTTGTTAACAAAAGAATTTCTAAGTTTATGGTATCACATTAAGTAGGATTTCTATTGGAAAGGCCAGAAACTTGTGCGGAAATCAGAAAAAAAAAAGAAAAAAAAAAAAAAAAAAAAAAAAAAAAAAAAAAAAAAAAAAAAAAAAAAAAAAAAAAAAAAAAAAAAAAAAAAAAAAAAAAAAAAAAAAATAGAGAAATTTCAATAAATACTGGAACAAAGCAGAATACTTGTCGACGGGAATCATCAGTCAGTTTGCAAAAGTTTAAAGTTAAAGTAATGGAAAGTGAAAGTGACGAGCAGTTGTCAAAGTTCCTGGAGGATATTAAAATGGAGTCCGTAAGGAAATTCCTTGAAGGTTAGTATAAATTCCTAAGTTCATCAGCTCTTTTACTCTCATTTTTTGTGCTAAAATAAACGTACGTATGTATGTATGTATGGTATGTACACATGTTCGTATAAGTGTTTGCTTTTATACGGAAATTTGGCTGCAATTAAGTGCAAGTGTTTTTTAAAGAATTCGGAAAAGACAAATTCGTTCGTCTCCACGTGTGTTTGTACTTACATACATACATAACCACTTATTTATACATATGTATGTAAATATATACAGAAACAAATACTTATTAAATAATAAAAAACATTACCTAAGATTTAAATATTTATAAGCTTGTATATATATGTACCTTAATGTTATAAGAGATTTAAGCCTGTAATTAATCACATATTATATACATATCCCATATATATTACAATTCAATGTTATTAGCCAATTATTATTTTAGCTTTTTTTTTTTTTTTTTTTTTTTTTTTTTTTTTTTCTTTTTTTTTTTTTTTATATTTTTTATTTGATCCAATATGTTCTTAATTAAATATTAAATAAAAATATTCATTTATTTTTTTTTACATTTGTTTAGATCAGACATTCGATCAATAAAATTTTTTACTTTTTAAGAATTGATTTTCAATTTTTTTTTTTTTTTTTTTTTTTCTAGCCAATCGTTGCTCCAAAGTAAGACAAGACTTGCCATAAAATATTTAAACAATAATATCCTTTTACCAAACAACTCGCCATTTACTTTTTCATATGGTAAATACCAATTGTTGCAAAGACTTTCTTCGAGCCATTCTTCATCTGCGCCTAGATGAAAAGTCACCATAATTTTTAGTCATAATTATTACTGATTTTCTATCAACCCATCCCAAGATGGCAGTTGCAGAGGAGAACAAAAAAAGAGAGGACAAAAGGCAGGCGGCAGCAGCGGGCAAAAAACAATTTGAAAGGAAATGTTTAACATTATCTCGAATCTGATGCTTTGAACTCGGCGCAAGTTGGCGAACATGAACATGAAAAGTTGCCAAGTCAAATGCTGTCACTGACATGGCCATCCAAATTTAGACAAAGCCTCCAGAGGAGGCGACTCCTCGCGACTCCTCGAGACTCCTTTTTTTGTATGTATGAATTTTTGTTCGTTTCGTTTCGTTTCTAATGGCCCGAGACTTCTGTGCTCCCTGCTCCCCACATAGCGAAAGTCTTTGAACACTTTCCGTGGCTGCTTGGATGCACAGCATCCGTTTGGCCAAGGCTGGCTGGCGTCTTTCTTTTCTATATTTTTGTCACCGCGGGACTCACGGGTCTCGAGTCTCTCGCAAAGGCACGCATAACATAAATTCTGCAATGCGTATTTCAAAAATTGCTGCCTTCGATGTGTCGTATGGTCTTTATAAGGAGCCGAACAGAGGCCTTGGCCATTCAGTTGTCCGCTGGGCAAATGTTTATGTCAAACGCGCAGCAAATAAAGTGCTCGGCTTGACAATGTCCGCGGCAATGTCAACAGATGGTGGCCATGGCCACGGCCCTTGGGGACCAACAATCTGGGTGGGTAGCCAGTTTTTTTCCTTTTTTCGGCTTCTCTATTGCTGCTTCATAATCTTTATGAATTGCCTAGGAGACAATGGCCTGACGGAAATGCTACTGCCAGGCATTTGCAACTCATTTTGCTGGCAAAAACCACAGGTAGAAGCCATAATTGATAAGAATTATAAAATAACACTAGTTTCTAAGATCACGCACGCGGAGGCAATACCCGAAACGCTCTAGATTGGGCCAAGATCGATTCGGGAGCATCAAGTGGCGAGTTGGATATCGTTAGTGGCATTGCATTGCGGTTCTTTTCTGTTTCGTCCACTATTCTAGTAGAATAACAACAGCAACGGCAGCATGGAAAATGCATTACGTGTAATGTGCGTTAAAGCACGAAGTTCAGCTTACAGCTCAGATATGTGCGGAGTTTTCCACGGACTGCAATTGATTTCCGCACTAATCAAATTCGAATTTACCATTGATTTTTCACTTTGAGCTGAGCAGAGAATGCGGTGTGTGCACAGCGGGAAATTGCAGGTAAATTTGATAGCCGGAATCAATATTTTCCTTTCGTGTTTTGGGACAGTGCTCGATGAGAAGCATTGCATTTTATGATCTGATAGTATTTATTGTTCATCTTATATTTGATTATTTGTTCATTTCTCCGATTGATTTATTTTAATCGGTTATTCATATACCATATATGATTTGAGATTTATGGTTTCAGATGATATTTTATTAAACAATCCATAATCCAACATTTTCAACGATTTAAATGCCCTGCCTTTTCCCAGTGTACTCCCCTAATTAACGATTATGCAACTGTCCGCCTGCAAATCGATTTGCATGCCTGCTGCCATCGCCAGTTCTGGTGAGGTGAGTCTGGGAGTCTGGTCAATGACATGGCCGCGGAGTCATTAGCGAAACGTTGAGAATGAGTCGCGTGCCAATGGCAGTACCGTTCTCCTCGCGGAGAATTACACAAAAGCGGGCCACAACACTGGGGCGTGAAGAGTCACAGATGGAAATTCTAATTACTCGATTTCTTGTTGACTCCACTGACTTACATGAGCAAGAACAAGCCAAACCGAACAGAACCGAGCAGTCGAGAGGCTGGCGAAATTTGCAGTAAAAATGTTCGCTTTGCCCCACTCAAATTACAATTTAATGTTGTGGGTCAGTCGCCTTAGTGGGGCAATAAACAAAGTTCCAGTCGAACTCCCATACCCATTCCCATTCCCAGTGCAAGTCCAAGTCCAAGTCCAGGTCCGAATCCGAATCCAAGTCGCTAAGTCGCGGATTCCTCGCTTCGGGCAACATAAATTGACTATGTGCACAGCACACAAATGTTCGAGTGATTTTGTGTGCCGCAGGGAGTGGGGCGGATTTTCGCTATATATTTTCCACTTTTCTTCTTGATTCGCCAGCATATAAATACAATTGCTGCCGAGCGGTGCGCTTTTAGCTGCGCATTTGGACCCAAATTCAAATTCAGATTCCGACTTGAATTCAGGTTCGTCGGCGATTTATTTAGGCAAATAAACAAATGGCATGTGCAGAGTGTTAATTTATCAAGTTGCCGGCGCACAGAATTGAAAATAAGTGCGAGAAAATCACTTTGCAACGGGGAAAGATCCCCAGATGCAAGTTGCTCAATGCCCAATCCTCAGATGCTGTCGGTTGGCATATTTATGGCCCGGCTGCTCATTTTGTCAGTCCAAAGTGCCTGCCATATATCAGGGGAGCATATCTCATTACTTTGTGATATTGCCAATGCATTTTGTCTGACCCAATAGACACCTACAAATAATGAAAAGGACGCAGATACCCCGCACCATCTTTGTGTCGACGTGGAGAAAAGATTTGGCAACGCCAACTGGATTTCTCCAGGCCAAAAGCCAGAAGAAAAAAAGAAACAACCAAAAAAATCGACAGATACAATATGTGCAAGGAATCGAAAGACTTAAGCGACAAACTTGCTCGGCATACCTCTGTAAAGACGCGTTGCCAGCAGATAAATGTTCTTTAAGTCGTTTTAATGCTTTATAAATTCATAATTCTGTACAAAATCTTGTAGTGGTAACAACACAGATGTATCAGAATCAAAATACTAGGTAAGAAACTTGATAAAAATATTTTCACGGCTCATTTTAAATACTTACAATTAAATTACGGTCCATAATAATTAATAAACAAAGGAGCAATGCAAGCAACCATTTCCGACAACCCAAACACGGTATAACAAATCACTCAAATCGAAACCATTAACAAAGGAAAGCCCATACATTGTAATAAAGAGCAATAAATTCATCATTTAGGATCTTTGGGAGGTCGGTTTCCACCTTCAATGCAAGCCAGGGCCGATCCGAAGCCACATCGCATTAAATGAATTTCCCTATAATTTATTGTTGATCTTTAAGTCTCATTAAAATGCTGCTCCAGTCGCACGGCGGTTCAGTTTGTGTTCAACTCGGG